GAAGTCGATCTCCTCCTCTTCTGTGAGAGTCAATGGTGGCCGCCTTGGCTCGGTGACTCCGATTGGGAAACAAGGGGCGGACGTAGTTTACATGGCCACTGGGCGGTGATTCACAAAGACTCCACCACTTGCTAAAACTAGGCTGAACTGTCTCTTTCGAAAGATGTCCATTCCTATGACCATACCAGAGGAGAGTCCACATAAGTGTTCACACGTTTCCTCAAAGCGGTGGTTGTTAAACTGTATCTCTACTCGGTATATTGTTGGAACTATGACGGTTTCTCCATTAGCCAGACGGGCTGAACTTGCAGTTGTTGGAGTTTTCGGTACTCCCAGCATTTCCCATTATCTAGCAATCCTGTCTCCCACATAGGAGATCATAGCGACGGTATCAATCAGAGCTACAACGTTGTTTATCAAGAACATTGACTCGAATATGGGGGCGGTAGTCTCCGTGGCGGTCTCCGTGTCCTGGGGGCGGTTGTTCTCACGGGCCGGGATAACGGTGTTAGAGGCATCATGGGGGCTTCGCTGCACATGCATCAGGTTATTGCAGCGCCCTAGCAGTTATAAGGCCCGTGGGCCCGGACAGTCACGAGACATTACTCCATCTCTCTTGCATCTCGAACAGAAAATTCTGGAGGTTACTCGACACTGGTTCCTAAAATGTTCAGTCTGCTCACATCGCCAACACTCTTGTTCTCTTCTCTCACGTCGCATCGATAGCGGCGTAGTGTTGTTAGTCTCGCTCGACTTGTAGATGCAGGTGTCGTTCCTCCAGTGGCAGGTGTGAGAGACGTCTGGTAGGTAGCGGTATGCGGAAACGGTCTTATTGCTGTCACTTGCTTCGTCCTGGTGCGAGGGAACGATTTCACTCTAGGAGCATGATCAATTTCGGAGCGGAGTAGTTCGTATTTTCGGGAGACCTCAGCAAATTCTTGGACGTCCGTGAAGTTGGTCTTATGGATCTGTTTTCGAAACTCTGGATGCAGGTTTTTGTAGAGCCAGTTCAACCCCTATTCTGATGTAATTTCTCCGTGGCGGCGAATGAGGGTCTGCAGATCGGTGATGTACTGTGAGGACTCCTCCTGCAGTTCTTACACCTTTCTACTGATGGCCACTTTCAAGTCGATGAGGTAGTTGACTAAGTACCTCATCGAGAACTTCTGGAAGGCCGTGCAGAAGGCTTGCCAGTCAGGCCATCGTGATCGGTTATTTCTGAATCGTAAGGCAGGCCTTCCATGCAGCAGCTTGGGTATCGCTTGCAGAAGACGGTCTGAAAGTATGCACTGGAAAGCACAAATTTCTCCTAGCCTTTCGAGGAAGGTGGCGGGGTTTCGGATTCCATCGAAAGATATCTGCCAGCCTTTGGACCTCAGAGGACTGAGTGAAGCACTAGGCATGGGCTGGTTAGACTGGCTTTCCACCAACGTCCCATGGGGAAGGCTTGGTAGGGTTTGTCCACCGGTACTCATCACTGTGATGGCCGGTGTCGTGGCGGTAACGGTCGTACCTGCAGACATGGTTGAAAGTACGAACGGTGTCATCATAGTCGGAGCAGGTGGAGCTCGGCCCTCCCGTATGAACTTGACCGGACGCCGACGTTTCTCGTCTACGGTTCCAGTGGTCGCGAGTTGGAACTTTGTCAGTTCGGCATCGAGCTCGTCTTTCCTCATCAGGTATATTTACCCGACTCGGGTGTCGGCCAGACCGCTTTCTGCTGGAGAATTCTTGTCGGCGGTACTCCCTGTATTGCTGGCTGGGTCCTCTACTGCTCCAGATTTATCTCTCGACATCTTTTTAGGCACTTAGAGAACGTACATGTTCTTGATTCCACAGTTAGGTACTTACTAGCTCTCCCGTCGGCTCCTATTTTGGCTACGGTACTTCCAATCGATGAATGGGTGGTGAAAATCGCTACTGCGTACTGAAAAACCTACTGAACAAGGTGTCGCAGGGTCAGTTTGAGAATCTGTCGGAATGACAGTTTGGTATAACTCCCCGGAATAATTGTTTCTCCTTCTAACCGGTTATACTCAATTTCCGGTAACCAAGGGCCTCTGTATACCATAAAATCGATCCCTGCTCGGGCGTCAAGTTTGTAACGCTCTGTAATAATATGGTCCTCTTCTCAGGACAAGAGAAAACGAAAGAAACTGAAGGTTTCAAAGTTTCGAGTATAGGAGCTTTCTAGCTCGTTTCTCCTTCATTTATTTTCTGAATTGAATTTTAGCAGCGCTGTCACCAGATGCAGATTTTTCCGCATCAAATTTTGAATATCAAGGCAGGTCCGAAAAAGCTGTAGAGTTCGTGCCGATCGCACGAAGGCCGGTCTTTTTTAAATCTGATTATTTGGTATACTTACTTATATTCTCTCTCATTGTGTGGTTCCAGAACTGAATTTTAATCTTAATTGAAATGCTTTTCACTCACTATTCTCTTCTCGATATTTCAGGGAGAGTGGTGTATAACTTCAAATTTTCACCATTTTTTTTGTAATTGTACTCTAGCTTAACTATCAGCACTAGGAACCCCACAATATGTAACCTCTTTGTAAATAGGAAATGGACTCAGATGAAATATTATGTGAACTCCCTCTAAATATCAACTGGTTAGTATAAAAAAATAACAAACACTTACATAACGCCTCTTTGTGTGGTTCGTGGTCAACCGTAGGTTTCGTTGACCCGGTGTATCTTCTACACCAACACTTTTAATTTAAACTCCCCTGTACCCCATACCGGCTTAAGATTTCACTATCGTTTTTACTTAAATTTTGCCCCACGCGCTTAGAAACAAAATATCTCCCCTATTCAGGCCACCACCCTCAGCCTCAAAGGCTGAGGGATGAGACCTTTTCTATCTGTCTCGTAACAAACTCCAAAGCCCTCGCCTAAGCTACGCTATCCACAAAACCTCATATCAGCGTTTTTTCAACCTTCCCAAGTGTATGATCATTGGCAGGATGCAATACATTTATTTGTTTAGTCTAAGTAAATTTTAACATGATCACAACGACGCTCAAAGGTTCGACAGTCACAAAGTAATTCAGCGCTTTTTCAACTGGAAAAATATCGAGACCGAAGAAACAGGTGATCGACCTCGATCTCAATGAATGAAATAATATTTTATGTTACTCTCGCAATGGCCGTTATTACACTAATGGCCGTTATTACAGCTCTTTACGCGTTACGGGTCATTTCGACGCCGAATTCAGGTCACGGATTGCCTCGGGCGCCAGCTTTCAGCGTGATATGCTCCACGTGCTCCGGGCAGTGTCAGTGAAGGAAGTTATATACCAGGGGTCACTATGGTATCGACTAAATTAAGTGTGGCCAGTACGGCAGGGCTGCTTTCAGTAAGAAGTAAAATAAAACAAATAAATCAAACGTAAATGAATTTCCTTCAACAAATTAATATGGGTTATACATTTATAATTAGTAATATTAAGAAAAAAACAATCTATTACTACTTTCACAGGCGGAAGCAACAGCGGAAAAAGATTACGCATTCATCATGCCGAGTATCGACTAGGGGACAGACAGTTAGAACACTACGGCAAACGGTGCGCTAGCACAAGTTCTAAGCTCATTCAAATCTCGGACATGAGGATTCGTGATTCTCAGTTCAAAACAGATTGATAGATAAACTAGCAACATACGGTAATATCAACATAAGAGGTGTTTGGCACACGGCCCTCGACAAATTCTAATAACCATATAGTGGTACACCCGGTATGAAACATATAATAATTATTCAAAAATGTGGGGTATTCATCACACGGCTCGTGTAAAATGAAATCAGTATACAAAATAATTCACGGCGGTATTCGGTGTTCAGCAAACGGCCTTCTTCTTTAAAATAAAATAGTCAATGACAACTCATAGAATATAATTGTCCACTGGGTATGATGTTATATGAAGTATGTTCCTCACACGTCCTTTTATATAAAATAAAACGGTCAATTAATTGTCGAAATACCATATAAACTGAGAACCACTACCTTTTATCTCACCCTTTTCTTCCTGTACTCCACTTACTTTTTGGCTAACGGTCTATTCCTGCCCCTAGGCGGTTCGGTGATTGATCGGATTTCTAGCTAGCATCCAAGATAATGAACCCAGCTGGAACTCAAACTCTAGATGCTCTCTAGATTATTTGAAATAATGTTATACGTGGTGTCCTGTGAAGGGCGGTAGTACGGTGTATTACCAAATAACGTATGATTTTCAAATCACATCGGCGACCTGGCACAGTACAGTTTCCTATCGCGATAGAGTCGCACTTCGACGCAGTTTGGGAGCGGTGACAGTAGAGAAAGGTATTCATGGGGTCAAATAAACAACGGAGCAATAATATGAATACAAAATAATGAAAGCTGCTTCTACCTGACATACCATAGAGGAAATTAGTAACTTCCTTACAACGGATAACAATCAGAATATCAATTACAATAGTCATATTCCATTTACCAATGAAGCAATTTTCAATAGAAATCGCATTACGAAAAAAAAAAATCAAAAATAATGTATTAAACCAATGGTGTCATTTCGAAGGGACAAAATGGAAATTGATGAATAAATGAATATTTTTTTGGGAAAAATGAAAATTCGCCCTATTTTTTAACAGAACTTGTATGTTTTATTGCTTCAGGTATTGATGACGCATCTATAAAACTGCGTTGATAAAATTAAAATATGCTGAAATATGTTTTTCCGTTAACCAGCTGTCACTCCCCTACAATCGACAACTCTCAAAAGTCGAAACTTGTACGAGATAAGGACTAACGATGTCTTACCTTTCAACTTGTGATTTCCAACACGGGTTGGACGATAGGAAGTAAAAATTGATCATCCGGCCCTGCGGTTCGAACCACCGGTTCACAAGGCAGTTGATTGAGTGAGTCGAGCAAACCACCCTAGTCAACCCACCAGGCTACCGTCCTCTGATATCATATTTTCTCATCACGACTGGTTAATTTCCGATCTCTTTTTTTTCAGAGACACCATGGGCCTGAGGTTATTTTTCGATATCAGATATGTAAACATGGTTGTTGGTTTGGCAGTATCTTACAATTCCGACTTCAATTTCACTATCATTGTCGGAATCCTATTGAGCAATTCAAATTTCAGATCATCCGATGTTGGCATGATAGTTATGGTGTACTTTGGCTTCGACCTCATCTCCCGAATAACTTATTCAATTATCAGTTATTTTCATACCATCAATAACAGAATGACATTCCTGGTTGCCACTTTCATCATATCGGTTTTTCGGGTTGGTAAGTGAGAATTCAGTTATATTTTTGATAATGTTAGTCAGATTTACTCCTTTCAATTCATGCGGTGCTAATCAAAAGTACCAGATGAATGAAATTTCAAGGCATATTTTGAAATACGTTATATACAGTGTCACCATTAAAGTGCGCACCATATGGGAAACTTTTTTTTCGAAAAATTTCAATCACTTGGATATTTTCTTAAACAAACGTTAGTACCTTCAATTTTGAAAAAGCAGACACAACTCAAAAACTGCAATAGGTATTAATAAAATTAGTAGAGTTGAAATTACATTAAAATTTCAATATTCAGTATTTACAGATTATTTATAAACACTAACTAGGGCGGTAAGGATGCTTA